AAGAACGGCTTCTACTGTACTATTTTACATGCGATTTTTTGTTACGTTTAGTCTTCATTAAGTACTTAAGTGTATTAAATTAATAACCTTTCAGACATTGTTATAAATATTTTTATATATTTCGATTTTTTAACCAAATGTTCGAACCGTTTTAAATTCGAATTTGTTATTGCATATTGGTTCGATTATAGAACAATTATAAACATTCCAGAAAATTGATCAAATTGAAAATAGTTCGTTTGATTCTCAGCAATTCTCATCATTCTTGGCAGTAGGTGTTATATAACAATTACTATAGTTGTTGAAATACTGAATATAAATGGGGTTTGCTTGCAAAACCTCCGCGGGCGAAGTCGCAGGTAACAGCTAGTATTATATATAGTACAACTATTTCTATAGAATGACAATGTCCTCTCTTCATAGAAATTGTAATCCTAAAATGATACTGTATCTGATTGAGTCCATTCTAATCAGCTAAACAGTATTCACAAAAACAGGAAAAAGCATAGTATAGACACTGTGCACAATACATGGTAAGAAATCAAAAAATTCTTTTTATGAATGTTACTTTCTGTTAAGTTGAAAACTTTTGAATAAATTGAAGTCAATGTGATGATTTTGATTTACCATGATCAAAACACATTTAAACTTACATATATCATTATTGAAAATTTTTTATAATCTCAAAATTAAATAAGAAAGATTGCAAATTTTTTAAATTACTAATGAACACTATTTTAAACAAAGAGTAATTTGTATTTTAAACAAATATATTCAAAACAGATGACATTAGAATTAATGAATTGGAATTAATCTAATGAGTTAAACTGACTTTACTTTACTGACTTAAACTACTGTTAAAATTAAACTGATTTTATCTTGATTTAACTTTTTCTCATCAGATCAGTTTTGAAAAACTTACAACTAATTCTATTTTGTGACAAATAAGATTTCGGAGATTTTTTTTTGTTTATAAAATATTTCAAATGTAATTGAAAAACACAAAAATGTAGTTCTATATTTGAAGATATTTTCAAAGTTTTTATTTCTCTAGCTATAAAAAATAGAATATAAATAACAAACTTTATGGATTAATGAACCTAATTAAATTATCTCATTAACATAGATCAATCTATTAAAGAAAATATTGATTAATAAACTTGTTTTGAAAATAAATACTGTACGTTATATGACAATAGCCTACAATATCAAATACAATGACTATATAATTATTTGAAATTAGATTTATTCAATTATTACAATGAGTATCATTATTCTCTTGCTCAAATGAATAACAGATACTTTGAATATTGTTCAATGAACTGGACTAATCTCCTTAAATGGTTTGTTTACTGAAACCGTGTTTTCGTATTTATTGACTATTGAACACAAGACTGTGTTATTAATTAAACACTATAAAGAGAAAAAGCGCCAAGTGTTTAATTAATAACACAGTCTTGTGTTCAATAGTCAAACTCCTTAAATGATGTTTTTCCAGCTTTAAATACAATCACTGTTGGAAAGATTAAGCTACAGTTTCTCTTTTTCAATGAAGAAGACAAAAATAAATTAAACTTGAATTAAACTTAATCAAAGTTTATGATATTTTGATTCAGATATAGATTTTTCATAATATTTTTGCTTTTGAAAATATTAAATCATCTCCTCAGACTTAGTTTTAGTCTTTTTATTAAATAATAATAGAAATATATTTTAAAGAAATAATTAATTTAAGCCTCAAAAAATACTTTTCAAAATATAAATGATTATTAAACAAATAATTAGTTCATTTTATTTCCATTCTTCTTTCCATTATTCTATAATTAAATTTATAAATGCTTAAAAATCAAAACAAATGATTGTAGTCCTGAAATCTAATAAATAATCCATTAAAAATTAAATAATTTGGAAAGTATTATGAGTATTATATTTAATATTTATAAAAATTTAACCTTTATACTGGCAAACATTTCCAGAATACAAATGATCACATTGGCATTGTCCAAAAGCATTAATCTTTCCATGATTAGAACAAACAGTTCTTAAGTCAGTCACTGAAAATTAAAAACATTTGATTATTTCATCAATTTAGAAATAATAGAAATTTTTATAAAAATTTATTGACTTTAACAACTGAAATAAATTATGTTATGATAAATAATTAAATGTTGACAGAAAACTATGTCTAACAATAATGAATAAATACTAATTAATTAACTGATGAGCTAAAGTTGTAAAACATCAAATCCACAAGAATGACATTTAAAATTTTGGAATTATTAACTAGAATATGAATATATATTAAAGTTTTGAGAAACATAGATAATATTTAAAATCTATCAATTTTTCAAGATGTAATCATTCAAATCCATTACGATCTGTTTATTTTCTTGCTAATTCTATAGTTGCAATAATGTAGCTGATTAGTTTTTATTAGATGAACTGAATAATAATTAAATAGTATTTATCTTTCTCTAATAATAATTGAGACAGTATGTTTAGAATTTAAATATCTATTTAATAAAACTGAAAATTGTCAACCTTTTTATAATTTAATTATTAAAAATATCAACAATAACTACCTGGTACGATATCCACATCAGCACAACTCCAAAATAAATACTGATGACCCCATTCCTGAGCTTGTCTTAATAGTCTTATTGTACAACCTTTACATGACAAAGATTCAGGAAACGATACAGTATAACTTTGTGCTCTGAAATATATTTTAAATAAAAATGTTACTTAAATTTATATACAAGTAAAATATTTCAAATATAATTTAAATTAATATTATTATGTTAAAAACATTTTTGCAAATAAATATAATTATTTTATGTAGGTAGGATAAACATTTTTAATAGAACATATTTAAAAAAAAGCAGGAATAAACAAAAAAGCAAAAGATAAATAATCTGCAATAATAGAAAAACTGATAGATAATATATTATAGAATTCTATTTTTAATAACTCACATAAATAATTTATTTTTAAAATTCAATATTCCTTAAAAGTAAATGCATTTATATGATTCATTAAGGTGATTAAAAAATTTATCTACTTAGATATTAATCTTACATTTTTATATTTTCTATGTATTTATATGTTTAGATAGCTTTTTATGCTTCATAAAAAACACTTGTTTCATTATTGTTTGATGCAAATATTGTTTAATTAGAAATTAAAAATTTTGTTAAACTGAATTGTGTTCAGCTATTCTACATAATGTTTACAATGTTATAATAGAAATTTTATACTTTTGTAAATCAGACATACTGCAGAATATGTCAAAAAATTAAAACAAATGTAAACATTGATGATATATATGTATACAAGTTTTTACTTTTCTAGAAAAATATCAATCATAATTTACCTCAAATGTTTATGCATAAACATATATGTTGGAGGTTTATGACATTACTTTAAGTTTTCAAATTGTTTATCATTGATATCCATCCATTATGGACATTGAACTGTTGTATTGTAAATTTCATATAAAAATCAATATTTGAATTTTAAGTTATTGAAGTGGAAAAATATTTTTTAAAACATTCTGGTATTATTTGAAAGGATAAAACATTGTTTTTTAATGCAGAAATGTCAGTTACACCTTTTAAAATTAACATGCAAAATATGTAATGTCTATCCAATGTAGATTAGAACTAAAGACATATACTTAAAATACAGTAAAACTTCTCTAATTCAAACATTTGTAACTAGAATATTTCTTTAACTCAAAGAAAATGAAGCACTTTGTAGGTCTCAATGGAATAGCATAGGGACATAATGTCTCCAACTTGAATTTCTTAACTCAAATTTTCTTTGAGTCAGTTTCCCACAGTCCCCTGACACTGATTTATGTTAATTACAACTTCCCTGACTTAAATGTTAATATTTTTTCTATCCAAAGTGATCCTAATTATCAGATTTTTATGAAATTCTCCAATAATTAGTTGTATCTATTCTCCAACAATTTTTAGACACTGTTCCAGTCCAAAGTGAGAGGTCTTTATCTCACTTTATCTCAACAAGATGTACCTGAAAAACTGTTTTATTCTATTAGTTACATCGAACATTTGCTGAAAGGTATTATACAGGCTGTTTAAAACAAAAGAACTATCAAAGATTCTTTATATAATGCAAGAGAGGTAAAAATACAAATCTATTCAGAATTGGCATTTTTTACTCCATTGGTCTCTAACATGAATATTCTGTAACTCAAAGTTTTTTCTTATTCCTCAAAGCTTTGAGTTATGGAAGTTTTATTGTATAAGAATATAAAAGTATAAAGCAAAACTGTTCTGCCTATATACTGTAAATACAGGCAGATCAGCTTTTTCTTCATTTAATGTTTTCTTGGTAGAACATCTTCTGTTTCTTCATATTATTGTTTGAAAAACAAAAGATGCATACCAAGACTAAGACATTGTACTGAAAGATGAATATATTTTTAAAAGGTAAATATCTCTCAGTATAATTTTTTCAGNTTTTTTTTGTTTATAAAATATTTCAAATGTAATTGAAAAACACAAAAATGTAGTTCTATATTTGAAGATATTTTCAAAGTTTTTATTTCTCTAGCTATAAAAAATAGAATATAAATAAGAAACTTTATGGATTAATGAACCTAATTAAATTATCTCATTAACATAGATCAATCTATTAAAGAAAATATTGATTAATAAACTTATTTTGAAAATAAATACTGTACGTTATATGACAATAGCCTACAATATCAAATACAATGACTATATAATTATTTGAAATTAGATTTATTCAATTATTACAATGAGTATCATTATTCTCTTGCTCAAATGAATAACAGATACTTTGAATATTGTTCAATGAACTGGACTAATCTCCTTAAATGGTTTGTTTACTGAAACCGTGTTTTCGTATTTATTGACTATTGAACACAAGACTGTGTTATTAATTAAACACTATAAAGAGAAAAAGCGCCAAGTGTTTAATTAATAACACAGTCTTGTGTTCAATAGTCAAACTCCTTAAATGATGTTTTTCCAGCTTTAAATACAATCACTGTTGGAAAGATTAAGCTACAGTTTCTCTTTTTCAATGAAGAAGACAAAAATAAATTAAACTTGAATTAAACTTAATCAAAGTTTATGATATTTTGATTCAGATATAGATTTTTCATAATATTTTTGCTTTTGAAAATATTAAATCATCTCCTCAGACTTAGTTTTAGTCTTTTTATTAAATAATAATAGAAATATATTTTAAAGAAATAATTAATTTAAGCCTCAAAAAATACTTTTCAAAATATAAATAATTATTAAACAAATAATTAGTTCATTTTATTTCCATTCTTCTTTCCATTATTCTATAATTAAATTTATAAATGCTTAAAAATCAAAACAAATGATTGTACTCCTGAAATCTAATAAATAATCCATTAAAAATTAAATAATTTGGAAAGTATTATGAGTATTATATTTAATATTTATAAAAATCTAACCTTTATACTGGCAAACATTTCCAGAATACAAATGATCACATTGGCATTGTCCAAAAGCATTAATCTTTCCATGATTAGAACAAACAGTTCTTAAGTCAGTCACTGAAAATTAAAAACATTTGATTATTTCATCAATTTAGAAATAATAGAAATTTTTATAAAAATTTATTGACTTTAACAACTGAAATAAATTATGTTATGATAAATAATTAAATGTTGACAGAAAACTATGTCTAACAATAATGAATAAATACTAATTAATTAACTGATGAGCTAAAGTTGTAAAACATCAAATCCACAAGAATGACATTTAAAATTTTGGAATTATTAACTAGAATATGAATATATATTAAAGTTTTGAGAAACATAGATAATATTTAAAATCTATCAATTTTTCAAGATCTAATCATTCAAATCCATTACGATCTATTTATTTTCTTGCTAATCCTGTAGTTGCAATAATGTAGCTGATTAGTTTTTATTAGATGAACTGAATAATAATTAAATAGTATTTATCTTTCTCTAATAATAATTGAGACAGTATGTTTAGAATTTAAATATCTATTTAATAAAACTGAAAATTGTCAACCTTTTTATAATTTAATTATTAAAAATATCAACAATAACTACCTGGTACGATATCCACATCAGCACAACTCCAAAATAAATACTGATGACCCCATTCCTGAGCTTGTCTTAATAGTCTTATTGTACAACCTTTACATGACAAAGATTCAGGAAACGATACAGTATAACTTTGTGCTCTGAAATATATTTTAAATAAAAATGTTACTTAAATTTATATACAAGTAAAATATTTCAAATATAATTTAAATTAATATTATTATGTTAAAAACATTTTTGCAAATAAATATAATTATTTTATGTAGGTAGGATAAACATTTTTAATAGAACATATTTAAAAAAAAGCAGGAATAAACAAAAAAGCAAAAGATAAATAATCTGCAATAATAGAAAAACTGATAGATAATATATTATAGAATTCTATTTTTAATAACTCACATAAATAATTTATTTTTAAAATTCAATATTCCTTAAAAGTAAATGCATTTATATGATTCATTAAGGTGATTAAAAAATTTATCTACTTAGATATTAATCTTACATTTTTATATTTTCTATGTATTTATATGTTTAGATAGCTTTTTATGCTTCATAAAAAACACTTGTTTCATTATTGTTTGATGCAAATATTGTTTAATTAGAAATTAAAAATTTTGTTAAACTGAATTGTGTTCAGCTATTCTACATAATGTTTACAATGTTATAATAGAAATTTTATACTTTTGTAAATCAGACATACTGCAGAATATGTCAAAAAATTAAAACAAATGTAAACATTGATGATATATATGTATACAAGTTTTTACTTTTCTAGAAAAATATCAATCATAATTTACCTCAAATGTTTATGCATAAACATATATGTTGGAGGTTTATGACATTACTTTAAGTTTTCAAATTGTTTATCATTGATATCCATCCATTATGGACATTGAACTGTTGTATTGTAAATTTCATATAAAAATCAATATTTGAATTTTAAGTTATTGAAGTGGAAAAATATTTTTTAAAACATTCTGGTATTATTTGAAAGGATAAAACATTGTTTTTTAATGCAGAAATGTCAGTTACACCTTTTAAAATTAACATGCAAAATATGTAATGTCTATCCAATGTAGATTAGAACTAAAGACATATACTTAAAATACAGTAAAACTTCTCTAATTCAAACATTTGTAACTAGAATATTTCTTTAACTCAAAGAAAATGAAGCACTTTGTAGGTCTCAATGGAATAGCATAGGGACATAATGTCTCCAACTTAAATTTCTTAACTCAAATTTTCTTTGAGTCAGTTTCCCACAGTCCCCTGACACTGATTTATGTTAATTACAACTTCCCTGACTTAAATGTTAATATTTTTTCTATCCAAAGTGATCCTAATTATCAGATTTTTATGAAATTCTCCAATAATTAGTTGTATCTATTCTCCAACAATTTTTAGACACTGTTCCAGTCCAAAGTGAGAGGTCTTTATCTCACTTTATCTCAACAAGATGTACCTGAAAAACTGTTTTATTCTATTAGTTACATCGAACATTTGCTGAAAGGTATTATACAGGCTGTTTAAAACAAAAGAACTATCAAAGATTCTTTATATAATGCAAGAGAGGTAAAAATACAAATCTATTCAGAATTGGCATTTTTTACTCCATTGGTCTCTAACATGAATATTCTGTAACTCAAAGTTTTTTCTTATTCCTCAAAGCTTTGAGTTATGGAAGTTTTATTGTATAAGAATATAAAAGTATAAAGCAAAACTGTTCTGCCTATATACTGTAAATACAGGCAGATCAGCTTTTTCTTCATTTAATGTTTTCTTGGTAGAACATCTGTTTCTTCATATTATTGTTTGAAAAACAAAAGATGCATACCAAGACTAAGACATTGTACTGAAAGATGAATATATTTTTAAAAGGTAAATATCTCTCAGTATAATTTTTTCAGCCAGTATGTGTACAGGAAAAATTTATATTTGTGTCATGAAAACTCAATGAAACATTTTAAATAAAACAAGAAAGAGTGCAGGAAAAGTCTAGAATAATATTCCAGATACAATTGACAGAATATCAGAACCATGTGTATCATAATGTTTTGAAAAGTATTACTTTTCATTAAAGCTTTAAATGTCTATCTTATGTGGTGAATAACAGTTCATGATAAGAAATTGCCTTATTTTTTTTATTGTAAACCTGTGTTTTTCTCTAAAAAGTTTCTTTGTTAATGTATGTCATTTGTCATGTAGTATTGTACAATGCTTATAGTATAGTCTGCATGTTAACATGCAGACTGCACATATTACTGCAAATAAAGCAACTGTTTGGTAATCAGAAAGCAATATTTTAAACATTTTACATCCAAACAGGGCCAGATCATAACATAGACAAATGAGACAAATGTCTAGGGCCCAGTCAAACTGTCTATTTTGAAAAGATTCGTAAATAAGATAGTTTACTTCTCTGTTGTACAACTGTATATATACAGTTGTCCAACAGAAAAGTAATAAACAAATAAACAAAAATACATTGCTCTTCATATGATTATTGTGAATTCTAAAATCTAAAGAAAGTGTGTTTTTATGTTCTTACGTAGGAGGGGGCCCGATAGGAAGAAATTGTCTAGGGCCCCAAAGTGGGTTAATCCGTCCCTGCATCCAAAGACAATATTACTTACTGTATTTTAGTTTTAGAACAGTGATAGGTGAAAATTGAATTCAAAATTTAGTAACTTTAAACCACAAGCCAAATTAAATATTTAATTTGAGTAATTTAAAAAATAAATAGAAAATACTTATAAATTTTACTTTAAAAAAATTAAATAATCTATTGTATATCAGAAAAATAACAAACTGTATATAAGTGAAAAAAAATAACAATAATATAATTATTACAAAAAGAAATATTTTGTTTAATGGGAAATCTGCTATTGCTTATCTATTGAAAGTTCATAATTAGTGGTCTTTTAAGACTTTTTACAACAGCTTTAGGTTTTTGCTTTCACATTACACATGCAAACTTTTGAAATGCATCAAATATTTTTTTTATAATTTATAAAACTCTAATACTTTCTAATCATTTCATGTACCTTGAAATCATCACATGGGTCATGGATTTATCATTACTGTTTTAGGATATTGGGAAGGAATTTTGAGTTGATTTTTGTACAATGCACTATAATTTTTCCCAATTAAAATAATGAGAAATAGGTTTGCAGTTAGTGTTTTTGCACAGAATGGCTGATTTTTCAGAAATTGGTTACTGATGCTGAAAACATACAGGCATTCCTTGCTTATTATTTATAAAATTTAAATTTAACATATCATAATTATTTCATAAATTTTAGTACTTCCTCTTCTTATTTGTAAAAGTTCATAATTTAATAAAAACTTTAAACTGATTGCAAATTAATGTTTGTTTATTTTTGCTGTGATATTTTTCATTTACACATATGAAAACAAAATAAATGATAGTCATTTTTATATGTTCATATTCTAAATAGCAAAAATTGACTTTAATTGCTTAAATAATAAATGTGATAAGCAGTATGAAAAACTGAGTTTCAAAAATTTTCTATAGAACAGACCCAAATTTTTCAATTTATAAATGAACTGATTATAATTTCAATTTTTTCACTAAAGAACTTTCATTTGTATCATTTATATTTGACTATCATTTTTAATGTAAAAGTTAATTGACCTTAATTCAAGAATATTAATAACTTTTTAATGTTTAACATTTTTGCAATCCTTTAATTCCATCTTCAAACACCTTGAACATAAAATTTCAATCTAAAATTAATAGCATATTTGTAATGGTTGTAGTGTAACTATTTAAAAACAAATAAATAAAAATTTATTATTTAAATAATGAAAAAACAACCAACAAATTCTTTAAATAGACCCATTAAAGGCTAAATAGTCAATGATTCAAAATTTAGTAAATTTTATAATTAATCCATGATTTGTTACAATACTCTAATTGCTGGGAGTAAAGCTTATTGTTTAAAGTTCTATTAATTTTTATGGTCTCATTAAACAATTTGTATTAATTAAAGAAAATTTATCTGTTTTATTAAAATGTAAAGCTTTTAAAATTACTGAAATTAAAATATAATTAAACAATTTAGTATTGAAAATTCTTACGTAGTATCTTCAGAACCAACATAATCTGTAGTTGGTGTAGTAGGAGTTAAATCCATCAGGTATTTGTCATCTTTATCCAATAATTCTAATTTAAAACCACCCTGCAAAAGTATTGATTAAAATTAATATAGTTCTCATCTGTAAAATTTTTTAGAAAATATACAAAATAAATTTAAGAATTTATTTATTGTTTTATTATCATTCAGAAAATTTCCTAGAGAAACTATTAATAAAAATAAAGTATTTAAGTCCTTGATCATTAATCCACAATCATTAATAAACTCAACTATAATAAATTTTCAAATATTTTATTTATGAAAATATAAATAGATAAATCAATAAACTGCAAAATAAATATAAAAACCTATTAAAATGAATATTAAAACATGTCAGTTATATAAAACAATCTTTTATTCAATGAGACAAAGATGATTCTATATAGGGTGACTAAATCAGTGAATGACCATTTAAGGTAAAGATGTCATTTAAGATTATTTTGTAAGACTACTATCCCAAATTAATGAGATGTGTAACTTGCCATGTATGCTTAAAGTATATTGTTTTATGAAAAGGCAATGTAATCTAAAAATATCTATGAATATTAAGCATGATCTTTTGAAGGTAGAAAAACCCAGTAAATGACCTTCACCCAATCAACAATTGGTAGGAAATCATATACAGTACAGTCTTTTAGTAGTATGAAATGTCTAAAAATTACTCTTGTTTATTCACATGCACATTTTTGGCTATACTTTGATACATTAACTTAGAATTCCAGTGAATGATGATGGTAGTCATCTACTGGAAACTAACTGGTCATTTACTAGTTGAGTCATTCTATAGACATTTTATTGGTTAACTTATATTAACTGAAAAATCTTAGCTATTTTTTTTAATAAACATGTGTATACCATATTTTCAGATTTATGGTTTCAAATTTCCTTTACTTTGTATCCTTGTAATGTTTTTTTTTTTTGTTTGAAGTGTTATTAGGGAGACAAAATACACTACAAATTTAAACAAAACAATGGAAACAGTTGGGGGTGAGAGTTCTTGGTTTGTGGCATGGCTACCTATTTTACAAACCAAAAATTCTATTGCATCTTCACAATAATTCAGGTCCATTAATTAAACAGTGATGACCATCATAAATAATTGAAAAAGATAAAATGAAAATGGCAATAAAAACAGCATTTAAAAATGTTCAAATAAAAAGGATTGTAATTATATTTAAATAGGATATGGATATCTCCGTGTATAAGTAATATTTCAAAATGAATAAACTAATTTGATATTTCATGAGAACATTTCAAACATGGTAATAAGTGATGAAAAAAAACAGGAAAGCATTCAATGGAATAATTAAGACAGTTAAACATATTCACCAAAAGTACATGCTGGATTTTAACAGTTTTTTGGTTTAAGTTATATTTATCCAGTTGAAATGATCACACAGTATACTGTAAATAATTGATATGAGCAATAATTGCTGTCTGAATCCATAAGTCATATTTAAAAAACAATGCAAATATGCTTGCTATTAAATTTATAATTTTTATATTTTTATATATCCAAAGTTAAATAGCATATCACTGAAAATCTAAAACAATGGAATTTATTTAATGGCACTTTGTAATCTATCAGATCATTTATTGATATATTAATATGAACTGAATGCCAAATAAAATTTTTGCAGAAGCTGGTTGACACATGGCAGTCAAGATCTAGAAAACAAATGCAAGGATTTTTCAGGGTTTTATGCATGATTAATGTTGTTCTTTTAATTAACAGAAGTAATTATCTTGATAAGTTACACATTGCAATGATTATGCTTTATTCTTTATTTTAATTTAAATGGTAATAGAAGAGACAACAGATAACACTATATATTCCATAAAAAATCATAAACATGAACATAAAATTAGACATCACAAAAGAATATAATAAAATGCAACAGGAAAAATTTAATAAATGCAAAATATATTTTATAAAAATCAAGGAATGAATTGAATTGATCATAGGAAAGAGACTTTCTCAATCAAAATGTCATAAAACATTTTATCACCCAAATATACAATAATTCTGTAAAGATTGTTTAAAAACTTTTATCTTCTTTCTTGTTTAAACATTTGTAAATTTAAAATATAATGATAATAGGATAAATGTATGAGTTAGGATGTTATGATTTTTAACTTTTAAATTTGCCAGTTAAATTGCTTTCTAACCAGGCAGATATTTTTTATGACCTCATAATTGTACTGTACACACATAAAAACATTATTAATTAAAAACTGCATCATAACAATTCTATGAATTCAAAAATATAATATTACAGCATTTTGATATTTATCATAAAAGTTTTCCACGTTCGTAACACCTAAATAGGGCCTGCTTTCCAAAAAAAAGTCCGTCCGGAGACATCCCCGTGGTAGATCGCCCACGTGTCGTGTTCCAATAAACAAATAAAAGTAATACTTTCATATATTAAGTTACCTCTAATTTGAAAAATATGCTAAAATCATTATCAAATAGAAAATATGTAATAATCATTAAATACAATCATATTTAATGCTAACATTTCAAGCATACTTAACATTAAATAACATCAACTTTGTAATATCTTGTCTTCTCGCTGGGCGAGAGCTACTAAGCTACGATGCCCCGTGGTAGGTTTTTACGATGGACATGTTATGTGACATGGTTAGTAGTTATATATATTTTTTTGTTTTATACACAGGGAATAATGCCTTCCCGGAGGTCTTTTAAGGGTAACTGACCAGTATTTAGGTGTTACAGACGTAAAGAAAACCCGAAAAACTCCACGTGGCCAGCTCGTTCCGGCGAGGCGCGAATCCACAACCAGTGTTCAGTGAACAGAACCGCTTGACCACTGGTGGGCCAACTTTGTAATACTATAATCATGGGCATCGAGAGACATCTCCAGGCCCGGCGGGAGAATTTACATAGGCCTCAAGTAAAATTATTTGAAAATTTTTTCTGAATATATTACTTTTTACAAAATAAAGAACAATAGTTATACAGTAGTTAAGCATTTAATATTATAATAGCGCGTAAAAAAACAAATTGTGGGGTGATGTCTGGGCCCCCGTGAATCCCGGGCCTGGGGATTTAAAAAAAATCACACTCACCCTCTCGTCGACCTTGATTATATAAAATAGCTTGCTTGCATGGTTACTAACAGAAATAACAGATTATATTTTTGATTTTAAACAACTAACTGTAATTGCATTTTAATCTATTTTTAATAAAATTGTATTTATCTTGCACTGAATATATTCTTTAGGTAATTTAAAATTGTAAAATAAGTGTTACTAGTCATATTTAAAAATTAGTTACGATGATTATAATTTTTATTACATTAGCCTATTTTTTGTCATAATGTCCTAAAATCAAGTGATTAATTGATATCTTAAAAAATTTCATAATCCAAAGATTATGCAAGAAATCAAATGATTACATGTAGGTATTTTTTTCAATATTTACTTTTGGATATTTTTATAAAATACAGTATTTATATGTAGATTTAAAGAACGTGATAATTTGAAGAAAATAAGTTAATTTTTGAGCAAATCGATAATGATTTTTCACACTTATTAATGTTAAAAGCCAATTAATCTGTTATTATAATCTGTAAAATTATGATTATTATTTTTCCAATTTTTAAACTATTTTGAATATCTAAAATAGAGAACTGCATTTAATAATTTTTTAAATGAGAAATAATAGAACTGATAATATAATTTTGTTTCTTTTATTCATAAAATATTATTATTTTGTGATGGAAAGCTTTATCGATGCTATGTTATTTTATTTTGTCATCTTGTCATGTTTCTATTGACCTTTTCAAATACTGTATATTGAGTCCTTTCTAATTTTACTTTATTGCTATTATTTTCCTGTTTTGATCTTCCTATTTCCTGGTTCGTATATTTTCGTTTCTTCTTTATTCCAAGTATAACCGCATTATTTCCAAAATAGAACCAATTGCGAAATTTACATTCATTCTTTTTATATAAATAATGAAATTACAAAGAGATAAAGCATTTCAATACTCTTAGTTTCACAAAACATTAATAAAACCATAATACTGTAAACTAATTTTTTTTTTATTTTATTGAAAAAGTTTATTCATTTAACTATTAGAGGTAACTTAAATTAAAATTTTTAGCTTTTTGAGAAGGGTAGAATATTTTTCCAAACGGACAAATTGTTTTGGATCGTAGCTTATTGCGATTGATCTCGTAGATAACGCCTGACTTACCTTCCCGCCTATGGCATAATTAAATGAATTAATTATTCAATTGGTGGGTGAATTATCTTAAGTAAAAAGATGCAAGCAAAATATTTTAAAAACAATGTATAAAAAGGAAAAAACAATAAGAAGGTTTGCCTAAAAAAATATAAGAATCTAGATAGGCTCTTCGGATAAAAAATTATTTTAGTTTATCTTACCTCTTATATTACATTTATTTTACATTCAGAATATATATGTGCCAGATGCACACAAATCATAAAGCAATTAATAAAATTGATTGATTTTCATTGCAAGAGTGAAGTTTCAAAAGAACTAAAATCTAATTGTAAACAAATACTGTATTCTACAGCCTACATGTTTCTGAAATATTTAACTCCAATTTTATATATTCATTTTTCACAAGACTTTCAAATTCTTCCAATTATAATAATAAAATATTATTATTATAATTGGAAATCTTGCTTTACTCCGATACTTGTATGTAATTGACAGTAGATCTTGCATTTTGTGTAAATCATTGTCATAAATTAAGATACATAATTTCAATTTGTGTGTTATGTAATCTCAATTTTAACTATATTACATTTTATAACAAGCCAAAAAATACATTTTTTTAAATTACAGAAAATTACTAAGTATCAGTCGTAAAACGAAATCAACTTGCGTTTTTTAATATTAATTTTTGAATTGACGTTAAATAATTAAATCAAATGAAATAATGATGTAAATAATACAAGAAAGAATGAAAAATTTATATTTAAGATAATAAGTTTTATTTAGTAGTCGTAATTTAAACACTTCTTTATTTTAAATATTTCAAAACAT